GGGCCATTTACCGGTGGTCTGCTGTTGCCTGCCTGCAGCCTCAAGTTGTTGTTCCTGATGAGGAAGGAATGTTCTCTGGCCCCTAGAGAAATGAGTGGAAGACTCGGGATGGAATGAAGATCGGTAGTACGGTGTAGGACAATACTCTGACTTCTTCCCCGCTGAGGAGAGAACCTTTCTCTTGTCCCTGGTTTCCACCAAGTATGGCTCCACGACATCGCCAAATAGCTTTTCTCCGGCGCATGGAGCACAGGCCAGCTTCCATTTCCAGAGGAGCCTCCTAGCCACCACTGATGATGCCATGGCCCTTGATGAAAATTTGGCCAAATTCAGTGTAGCATCCGCTGTGAATTCCGCTGCTACAATGATTTTATTAAGGTCTTGATGAGACCTAAAATCGGTGGTAGGAAGACGGTCTTGCAGAAATGCCCTCATAAAAAACGAGGTGGGTGCACTTGAGAGTTTGCTCTGACCTCTTGTCCTCTGCCTTGAGCATATCCTCTGGCTCAGTGGGGGTGCCTGAAGTTGAAAATGAGGCAACCACCTGGAACCAGCTGGAACCAGGAGAGCGTTGCCCAAAGATGCTGTAAAAATGCCTGTCGTGTGATGAAGGCCAAGACCCTACCCCCGGGGAGGCACACTGCTCCTTGACCAATCCAGAAACAGCAGAGGAGATGGAAGTACCTCTGTATGGGCCACTGGTTTTGAGAAAAGAGTGTTACTGTGGTTAGAGGAAGCCACTATGGGTCCAGGAGCCACCTCCTCAGGACGTAATTGGACGGTGACTAGGGCCTTCTGCAGGAGCAGTTTGAATTGATAAGGTTTAAAGACTGCTGCTGAGGGGGGTTGATCAGATCTAAGCCCCTCTTCTTCAGATAAATTGGGAATGCTGATCTCCCTCCTTCTCTGACATGGAGGAACTACTGTGATCAGAGGGGTTGGAGTAATGCCTCGCCTCATCCTCATCCCAATCTGATTGGGTAGATGGGTAATTGAACTGTTGTCTGGGAAAACCCCTCTAAGCTGGAGGGACCTCTTGGGAGTAACCAGGAACCAAAGACTGACCTCCCCCTGATGGGCAGAGAAATTGCTGAAACCCCTCAGCGAGACCCAGTCTGATGGCCACTGAGACCATGTCTCTGATATCCTCAGGCCTGCTCCCTGTGGGATCCACTGGATGCAAGCCTGCAGCAGTGAGGGTGTAAGGTGCCTCAGGTATAGGCCTAAGGCCTCCTTGAATAACCTGGCCTAGGGGGTAAGAGGGACCTGGGCCCCAGGCAGCCTGTCTGAAGTTGGGCCCAGACCTGCTTAAATCCTGGGGTAAAACTTCTTCCTCTACCCTCTCTGGAGACCAAGCTAACAGATGGCTGGCAGAGCTAGATTCAGCCTCCCCCACCCTAGTCGTAACCCCTGGGCAAACCTGTACTTCCCTTGACTGAGAAGTCTGTTAGATCTAGTTTCTCATCTGTTCCACTGTCTTAGCAAACTGTTTTTCCAAAGCAGTATGCCTTCTCTTCTCGTTCCTGAGCTCGGATTTGGATGTCTTTTTGAGGGCCAGGGCCAGCCTTTCTTTTTGCTGAATGGCCTCTTTGTCTTCTTCTCTTCCTCATTGGGGCTTGAGAACCTTGAGCTTCTTCCAGGCCAGTGAGGTCTAACTGGGCCATTCCGTTCTCCATTTCGTGATCAAGACAGACACAAGAGGTGCTTGGCGCTTCTCCTGTGAGAGTGCTGCCTGTTGCGTGGCCAAGTGAGTAGTGAAAGCTGTGAGGCCCTGGTAATGGCCGTTCCACAAAATAAAATGGCTGCCTGGCTCCCCAAATGGCCTCCTGCCACGTGCACTGGCCCTGGGATGGCCTGGTCACCTCCTTGCTCCCTAGACTCTTACCAGGCCCCGAGTGATCAAACAGCCAAACGGAGAAACAGCTGTGAAGCGGATCTCCGAAAATCAGCTGTGGAGTGGCCCGAAATCGGCTGTGAAGCTGCCACTCATCGCAGCCAAGAAACTGCATGGGAGGCACAGCCGAACATTCTCTGTGACCACAGCTTTTCCGACAGGCAGAGTTGATGCCTCGACACTGCGGGAGAGCGGATCCCTGCTCTTCTCGTAGCACAGCTCAACCGGAACCCCGGGAGCAGTGTAGAAGCTGTTTTTGTGCTTCTGAAGATTTACTTGCTGTAAAATGCTCTAAACTCTTTAAACTCCTTTATACTTCTTCCAGGGGCAATAACCCCTAGGCACAAAGCTGAGTCAAAAGCTGGGGAGCCAGCTAGTGGCTGGCTTTTTATTTAGTGACAGACTCAGCTCTATGACATCAGAGGAAGGAGTCATACCCATCCTCGTCTCTCATCGCAGCGTGGATGAGAAATGACAGGTTTGCAGCAATCAATATTGAAGGTTTTTTTGAAGAATAAAAATGGAGACAACGGCAAGAGACCTCTGAGAAACAAATCATTCCCATTTTCATACTTAACTCCAACGCCACCCAAAACATTTAACATGGATGAAAATGATAACACTAAAATTTAGCCACATGAAGGATGGGATTTTTGGGAGGGAGCAGGGAAAGACATGACATATTATGGATTCCCCTGCAACAGTATAGGCAGAATTAGAAGGTGATAGGGACACATTATATTTGGCTTTCTGAAGAATTTATTGGGATCATTTTAATGTATAACAGTTATTTTACTATCATATATTCAGAAGCAACGTCTGTAAAGTTTAGGATTCAGACTAAGCTTGTTTCTCCACTAACAGGTTTCTGACACCACTTACTGGCACCAATCAAATATTCTTGATATTTTTTATTTACCAAATTAACCTAATTTCCAAGACTGCAAGGAGCAGATTTACTTCAGTGACAGACATCATATCATTACACTAAGTATAAAAGTATTAACCTATATTTAAATATATAGGAATTAAATTATCACAACCCCAAATATTACAATTCATATTATATAAATCAATCCATTGCTCAAAAGCTGCAATTTCCACAAATAATTTTACATAAAATATTTTCAAAAAGCAAACCCTCCCCCTCCACAATTTAAGCCCTAATCTTCCCTTCAGGGAAGAAAGAAAGAGTTTAACCCATCAGGGGTTAAGAAAATAACATACAGTATGCTATTAATTTAAACTTGACTGTTTATACATCTCTCAATGGTTGAATGTATTAGACTTCAACATGTTACAAGATTTAGCAGTGTTACACAATTCTGATATATGCAACAACAAATGCCTAGACTGATAACACTACTACTAGAATTCCAAGAATTTCATTTTCCCCTAAATTAATATTTGCACTATTAGTATCACAGTTTTAAGATAGTCCATTCCAAAACCTCTTACATTCTGGCTTTTTGCAGAAATCATTCTCAATCTGTTATTAATGTAAGTCAGGGAAGTTCAGACATTTCCATTTAGACTAAGCTAAAGTAATTCATAAATCCAAAGATTGCTGTCCTACTTCTGTCAGTAATGTAATACAACAATTTAAAAGAGATTACTTTAGTGAAAATTATAACAAACCTAACGTTAACTACGAATTCTATTCTATTAGGAGTTTATCTTTCTCCCTTACTACTGTATATGTACTGCTGGATAAACTGGTAAAAATATCCAACATCCAGGGAAGTTGCTAAAAGAATAAAGAGATTTTCTTGTTCTACATTGTTTTGAAGAACATTATTATTATGAAGATGTCTATTATGTAGCATGCATGCAAGCAAATAACCAAGGATTGGTTTCTTCAAATTTTATTACTTTTATTTTAAAAATTATATACTGAGTTACAGAGTTAGAGATACAAAAACTATCTCTGTATTTTTTGTCCTTAAAAGCAACAAAGTATGGAAATGAAAAAAATAATTTTACCAGTGAAAATAATTTACCAGTAAACTAAATTGGTAAATTTATTTACATATTTCAATCCCAGTGTTCTAGTGCTTTCTCTTACATTTTTATCTCTTAATGGGGAGAAGTCACATTATTACACCATGCTACCACCCGCCATGCTTGTGAGTTCATTGAAGTCTGGCACTCCACAAGCAACAACAGATACATTATCTACAACCAGCTACAAACAGAGGTGGGCTGCTCAGAATGTAACAACTGGTTCACCTAGGCAGAGCCAGATATATAGGACAGGATAGCACCGGAGTGGGTAAGCGAGCCTAGCTGGTGGTTGGAACTACCGGTACAGGTGAGCTGGTCCAAACTGGCAGCAGCCCACCACTGGCTACGAACCCTTCAGAATCCAAATCAACCGCGCAGCCAAATAGCACCAATCAATCCATGCATTCCTTCCACCAGTTCATCTCCCAATGACCCTGACCTGATATAACCTCCCTATCACAAGACCCATCATAAGACTCGCCAATGACTCACAACTGACCCATCACAACACTTGATATGCCCACACCTAAAGCCCCTATAAACTGAAGAAAACTGACACTGACATCCCCTAAACTCCATTGAAGATGTTACCTAACCTGATAATGAAACATTCAGAACGCAACCCACAAGCTCAGAGAACAAACCTTCACCCTCATCCTACAACCAAGCTACAGATATCTGCCACTATTGCAGAAGTCACATTTTATTTAGAAAACGGTAATAAAAAGTGGTGCTGAAAGTGAGTAACAAAATAAACTAAGAGGCACATATAATCCTTTCCTTTCTATGTTCATGTAATCCCTTAATTAGTAAGTTATTAAATTGGGGGCTGGAGAAGAAAAGATTTCGTATTGATTCATATACATATTGGGCCTAACAGAAGAGAATCTATGTAGCTTAGGGTTGATCTGTGGAGTCTCCACAGATCAACCCTGAGCTACACAGATTCTCTTCTGTTAGGCCCAGTATGTATATGAATGCTTTCTCAGCTTAGCAACCTGCTTGGAGATGTTTAAGAACATCCGTATAAGAAATAGGACTCCACATATTGCCCTTGCCCCACTCATGATGTTGTCTGTTTGCACTAAAGGCCTTCCCTTACTTATAAAGGCTCATCATTCATAGAAGGACTTGAAAAATAAGACCCTTAATTAGCAAACAAACTCCATGAACAGAAACAATATCCTCTGCACACAGTGACCATTTATATCTGAATGGGAACAAAAGGAGAATGGGCTTCCGGTTTGAAGGGCTTCAGCGACAAACAGAAATCCGCGATCGTGTGCAGTTTCTGTCTGGGCTCGACGCTGGAGCGCCCCGAGCCGGCTGGTTTCGGGGCTAAGCCACCTGTAGAGGTGGTAAAGAGGGGGGAGACCACCAGCAGGGTCGAGGAGAGCCACATCTCTCCTCCTCAGCTGGCCATTACTCCCTTTCCCGAAGGCGGTTGCAGCGGTGATCAGAAATGGCCACCACAAAGAAGAACTCGACCGGAAAAGAACGTGCAGGAGGAAGATAAGAAGTGAAAATTTTGGCTGACCAGGTTAAATTGTAAAAGCAACAACCAAGGTACCCTGGAATTTAAACTTACAAAAAATAACATCGCTCTCAAAGAAGAGTCGGAAGCAGCGAAGGAAAGGGAAAAGGGAACGGTTTGGCTTTTTTTTCCCCTTCTCTCTCCTTCCCTATACTGACAACTAAGAGACTTAAATAAGAAATCGGAAAAATTTGCTTTGGCATCAATAGTCAATTAAGCTGAAAATAAAACAAAATGCCAAAGGGATAATAAAGATTTCTGGACATTAAAAACTTTCTTTTTCATAAGCAGGAAGGGAGAGAAAAAGAATAAGAGCAGGATCTGGAAGAGGGAGGAGACTGCCTGGAATTAAAAAGAATCTAAAGTAAAACTTCAACAAGACTTCTAAAAGATACATTTTAACTGAAACTTGGCAACTAAATAGTAAGCCCAGGAAGAGAAAGTGAAAAAAAAGAGCAAAAAAGAAACAGCTTGCGTGTATTTGGATTATTTGGTGATCTTTGGCTTTTTGGTTATTATATTTGAATGACTAAAATCAATCGGGTGGTTGTTTAAAAATTTATACAATGGCACCATTTCTGGATGAATTGAAAATGGAACTTAAAAAGTACAAAGAAGATGCACAAGAAGGGAAGGCTTCTTTTGGCTTCGTTTTCAATTCTTAGAAATGGAGATTTAGAACTATGAGAAACAACAAGAAACGTCTACAAAACAAGAAGACTTGGACAAAGAAGAAGCCATCTTTAATTAACAAGTAATTCTATGTAGGGAAGAAAAAGGAAAGGGGGGCAAGAGAATGGAGAATTTAAGACTTAAAAAAACAACCAAAGAAAAGAAAAATAATTCAAAAAATAAGTATAATACTGGAAAGCAACAGAAAAGGGGAATACAGAAGAGAGATAGAGGTAGAGAGACAAGGGGGTAAAAGGGGGAGAGAGAAGAAGAGAGGGAAGAAGGAAAGGAAAAGAAGTTACAAAGGACCAGAGCAAGATATAGAGAAACAGGACCTATTTAGAGATAATGGGTGAAAATCTAACTGAAAAAGGGATTCTGTAAAGGTACATAAGATTGTATTGTTATATTAGTAATAGAAATAACTTTAGAAAATTGTAAACAACGTATGATTGAAATGAGGGATAAAATAGTGCAATTTAGTGAAATGTTTGTGAATAAAATAAGTGAAATAAAATAAATGAGAAAATTGAATTAGGAAGGAACGGGAACATTTTAATTAGTTAATGTTTTATAAAATATAAGTGAAGAGGGGGGGAATTAACTATGGAAAGCTTATAATTGTTCCCATAGAAGTATGATATTTAATTGAAAAGTAATGTTAAAAAAGTTAAGACTTTAATGAATATTAATATTAATGATAGAATTGCACTGGAATGGAATGTTGTTTTAATTATATACATTTATAATTTTTTTCTTTTTTTAAGAATACAGTGTGTATTTTAAGAATGTACCAAGCAGAATCCGAATGGAAGTTATGTATTATATTGAATGTTACAACTTTAGGGAAAAGATATAAAGGCGTCATACTCCAATCAGTAACTACAGGAGAAATTTTGTTTAATGAGAAAAGATAATAGATAATTGAAACAGGACAGACAAAAAATATAAATACAGTGATTTGAATTGAGATAATTAAAATAAAATTGAGAAAATTAAAAGAGGGGAGAAGCTATGCAGAAAATGTAAAATAGTAATAAGATATGGAATAGAATATAAGAATGAGCATGAACCTGAATTTGTGTCTGTACGAAGAAATGTAACCCGCGATTATGCTGCTTTCAAAAAAGATGTTTTATTTGTTTTTTTTCCTCTTTGTGAAAATTCAAATAAAACTTACCAAACAAAGGGAGAATGAGGTTAGTAAAAATGCTGATTTTTTTGTCTTGTTCCTGTACATTGTTGGGAGCAATGTGGTTTATGACCAGTATATACAGAAAATTATAGAAGTGTTTCACATGTTCAAATTGCTTGGGAGAAGTATCTATGTAGATTGTTTCAAGACAATTGCAATCCTAATGTACAAGGTAGGAAAACTGAACAATGTAGTGGTTTTTTATGCTTGCTTATAACTTATTCTGCCTAATAGTCATTTGATACAGGGGCTCCATTAAACTCAGGGCTTCACCCACTTTGGGTCTACATAATATTTAGTTTAGTTTACTTTATTGTCATTGCACCTCGTACAATGAAATTAAATGCCATCTTCAGTGTACATTATAACTATAAAAATAAAACACAAGCATACATCCTTCACATTCTATACAATTGAATTGAAAACCCAACATTGCATTAATATTGCAGTATACAGTACCTAATTTTGTAAAAAAACCTATCAAGGTTTTGAAGTATTTTAAATAAACAAATATTTGCAACAAAATCAAAGATAATAAAAAAGTTTCTTTCAACATATAAATAACAAGAAAAAAGTCAAGGAAACAGTCAGTCTACTAAAGAGAGAAGATGGCAAGGAAATAACAGGCAGTAGAAAGAAAGCAGAGCTGCTTAACTCATTCTCTGCATCAGTCTTCACACACAAAGAGACTATAGCCCAACCTACCAAAACATAACTGTAACAAAGACAGATTAGAAATAAAAATTAAAATAAGCAAGAAAATGGTAAGAGAACACCTATCTGACCTTGATGAATATAAGTCACAGTTCTGAAGGAGCTCGCAGGTGTTATTTCAGAACCATTGTATCATATCTTTAAAAAATCTTGGGAATACCGGGGATTGGAAAAGAACTGATGTGGTCCCATTTTCAAAAAATAAAAAAAAACAGATCCAGGAAACTACAGACCAATCTATCTAACATCAATACCTGGGAAAATACTTGAAAAAATAATCAAAAAACAGTTCTGTGAACATCTAGAAACAAAGTTATAACTAGCAGCCAGCACGGATTTGTTAAAAACAGATCATGCCAAATCAATCTTATTTCATTCGTTGACAAAGTGACTAAATTAGTAGACCAGTGAAATGCCGTGGACACAATATATTTAGACTTCAGCAAGACATTTGACAAAATAGACCACAATCTACTTTGTGGTAAGCTAGAAAAGTGTGGGATAGACAGAACCAGCAGATGGATTTGTAACTGGCTGACAAACCGTACTCAACAAGTAGTCATTAATGGTACTACATCTACATGGAGGGAAGTAAGCAGTGGGGTACCACATCTTAGGCCCAGTACTCTTCAATATCTTCATAAATGACTTAGATGAGGGAATAAAGGGGAACTCATCAAATTTTCAAATGACACTAAGCTGGCAGGAATGAATATCCAACACCCACCCCAGAAGACAAACTCAGGATCCAAGAAGATCTTGTCAGACTTGAACAACGGACTCTATCCAACAAAATGAAAGTTAATGTAGAGAAAAGCAAGGTTTTACATCTTGGCAGGAAAAACCAAAGGTACAAGTACAAATTAGGTGAAACCTGACTCAAAACAGTAACTGTGAGAAGGACCTTGGAGTCCTAGTGGACAATCACTTAAACATGAGTCAGCAGTGTGTGGCAGCAGCCAAAAAAGCTAATACAACCCTTGATTGTATAAACAGAGGCACAGAATCAAAATTATGTGAAGTATTGGTACCACTTTATAAAGCCTTAGCTAGGCCACACCTGGAATACTTCATACAGTTTTGGTCACTACATTACCAAAAAAGATGTAGAGACTTTGGAAAAAGTGCAAAGAACAACAACTAAGATCATTAAAGGCCTGGAGACTAAAACCTAACCTAACAGGGACAATTAACCAGCGGAACAGCTTGCCTTCAGAAGTTGTGTGTGCTTCACCACTGGATGTTTATAAGAAGAGACTGGACAGTCAATTGTCTAGAGTCTCTTGCTTGAGTAACAGGCTGGACTAGAGGACCTCCAAGGTCCCTTCCAGCTCTATTCTGATTCTGATTGAAGATAGATTATATAATAAACACAGGCAGATACAGCTGTAAATGTAATGTCCTTGTAGAGCAAATGTCTAATTTAAAAGCTCTCAAGCAATAAGATGACCAGCCAGGTTGACAACTGGAAGATTACAAAACTGTTTGAAGATAAACCATTGTGAGTGATCTACACTCAAAACAAAACACAACAGTGATGAGCAGTGCTGCTATTTAGCATTTCATCCTTTTTGAGCCAATGTGACTAGACATTACTCTAGGCTTGGTTAAGTATCTTTTTGTGCCTGGAAGATATCTGACAGGACAGTAACAAATTTGAAAATCTCTAGCTCGTATCAACTGCAACATCATACAAGAGGGACAGAGAGAAGAGATTTGTCCATTAGATTTTAAGGTGCAGACTGACTCCAATAATTCATTTATATAATTATTATTACATAAATTCCGGTGTACCACAATATAGGAGATTCACAGACTTTAGTCCCACAGGAAGACTATTATTTATAAAGGTGGTTAATTGTTTATTAAAGACACAAAAATGTATTTTATACTATACAGAGGATTGTTTTAAATTGATTACATATGTTGTAATCATACAATACTTTATTTTGTGTTCTCAGCATTTCAGAAACTGAAACTGCATACAACTTATTTTCAAAGAGAGAAAGAACAAAGCTTAACCTATCTTCAGGTAATCATCATACCTTGATGTGCAAATGAAGCTCAAGAAACATGTCTGTTTCAGTAGTCAACT